GAGAGCCTAAGAATGGAAGACTATCCTAGGTGAGGTGGAATTGTTTCTAGGAGAAAAGAAAAGGAGAGAACAATGTAAAAGTAAATGTTCTACTAAAACAAATTATACTATAATTTTGCAAGATGTTATCATTGGGAGAAACTGGATAAAGGATACCTGGGATCTCTTGGTATGATTTCTGATAATTGTATGTGAATCTAAAGTGATCTAAAAAATGGTTTAATTTAAATAATAATAATAATAATAATAATAATAATAATAATGGGACTTCTGGTTTCCAGTTCCACATACAAAAAGTCTAGAAATTGCCATCTATCCTAACAAGTAAAAAGCTGAACAGACTGAAAAATCAACAACTCTTCTTGGATTCATAAGAGATTGAGGACATAGGGCAAACCTCATCCCCCAAGTTTGGAGGGAAATGGGTGAATGCAAGGAGCCATGGCTTGCCTGAACTGAGAATCATGAGCTGGAGCTTCCATTGGAGCTAGCCTGGGGTAAGAAAATCTGAACTGTAATTGATGAATAGCTGGAGGCTCAGCATCAACAAGTCTGAGAGTTAAACCCTCCTGGGGTTCCCAGTGTTTGTGCTCAAGTCCACTGCTTCTTTGCCCACCCCCATCTTCATCTAACCCTCCCCTACCTTTCAGATCATCTGGGGAATTCAGTTAACAGGGGGCACTGGTGAAAAATGGAGTAAGAAAATTAAAGAATCCAGGAATTTCTTCCCTTCTCTACCTGCTTTGTGTGCCCTCGCTTAAGTCTGTGGTCAGACTAGCCATGACTCCATCTTCCATCTTCCAATGATGACGATCGCCTTTGGCCTCCAGGAACAGCACTCACTCCTTCTTGCTCAATAGCATCTTAGGACAGTCAATAAACTTGGGGTTTCCTAACTTGCCCATGGCTGCTCTTTTGATTTTTGCTTTCCTGGCAGGACCCTGACTGATGGAACAGAGCAGAGAGGTCAACCGACAGGAAAGCAGATATGAGAGAGGCATCTTGTTTAAACAAGAACTCTTGGAAACGGCATGGAAACCACAATGTCCAGTTTTTCAAAAGGAGCCATTTCTTTTTTTCTATATGCCCACAGTGCTCTATATCGGAGCTGTTATTAACTATATCTTGCTTTGTTCATGTTGCCTTTCCCCAGGTTACTCTAAGATCTTTCACTCTGTTTTTGTTTGTTTCTTTTTCTCTCTCTCTTCTTCATATAGCAAAGTGCCTATATATTTAAGGTTCCCAATAAATATCTGTTGAATGAATTAGTGTATTTTTAACTTTCTATAACTGAAATCTTCTAATAACTTCTGTACAGAAATAAAAATTTAGTAGAGCAGGTTATTTAAGTGCTCTATGGGTCTCCTAATAGATAATCTGTATAAATTAACTAATTTTATAAATCAAACCTATATAAATCAAGATTTTTGCCTAAAGAGCTAACAGCATTTTTGTATAAAAAGTGTATTTCCTGGTTCTAAATTTATGTAACTTATTTCATCAAGTTTTTAAACATCACTTTGAGACATAAGTAGAGAATATGGCTCAGCTGTAGTCAATATACTGATTTTTAAACAGCTGTTTTAATTTGTTCTTTCTACCTGATTTTATCAGTTGACTACCTAGTTGCTTTTCTCTAAATCATTTGACATTGTATTCAGGTAGACGATAACTGTTTTCATATTTTACTTCCTTTTCCTGCCAATAGCCAGATAATAATGTTGAATTCTGGAAATCTTTTTTATTTCTCAGTGGGGTGTTTGACACATATGAGTTTATCATCCTTCTGAATAAAATTTACCTAAACTTACTAGGGAAATCATATATGATGGAATCTTGAATTATATCCTTAGGGTAAAAGTATGGAAGAATATTACATTTCTAGAAAATAGCCGCTTACAGTGCCTTACCAGACTTCCTCATATTCATTACATATGTTACCAACTGGCTAAATATTGCTAATTAGTAAAAAGGAGTCATTGAACATAATCAGTAAAGGTTTTTTTTTTTTTTAAAGATTTTATTTATTTGACAGGGATACAGCGAGAGAGGGAACACAAGCCGGGGGAGTGGGAGAGGGAGAAGCAGGCTCCCTGCGGAGCAGGGAGCTGGATGCGGGGCTCGATCCCAGGCCCCTGGGATCATAACCTGAGCCGAAGGCAGACCCTTAACGACTGAGCCACCCAGGCGCCCCAGTAAAGGTTTTTGATAAGGACATTGAAATAGGAAATATTTTAGATTAGACCCTTTTACTCGTTATTTATTTTGCTTTGAATCAGTGATTGAGACAAGTACTCAAATCACATAGACTGATCGGTAAAATCATCAGACATTAAATCTCTTTTTTTTACTTTTCTGTTCAATCACATCAAAAAAATATGAAATGGACAATGGAATCGATCAGAATTTGGCTTCCATAGTCCTCCAAATTGGCTTCATTACTACTCTTAATAAACTGACTCTGAAATTAATGAAAGATGTGAAAACAAGTGTCAGTATTTGTTTTTACTGGGTTGAGAAGTAATTCTCATTTATTTTAAAATGCATCCAAAGTTTCATTTGGGGAGAACTTTCATAATTGGCATCTGTTAATCATTTCAGAGTTAAATATGACAGTGAAGGCAGAGAGGGAGATTTTCAGGGGAAATTAATTCTGTTTGGATTCCTTGGCAAGGAGATGATTAAAAAGAAAAGCCTTGCTGGAACAACGACTAAAAGCAACATTCCTTATTAAAGGGCTTTGGTAGACAGTTGGAAAATTTATTGAAAAGGTTTAAGTTTAAGGGTAAAAAAAAAGAAAAAGCCAAACATTTTAAAAAAGTGTGATAGGAGGAAGATTTCCATAATTTAAAATTGTATTGAAAATATGGGCATGTTGTTTGGCACGAAAATTTAGACACAGTTTTAACTGCCTGCCTGTTGAATACTTGGCCTTTCCAAGGCAATCCATTATGTGTAATGTGTAAGCAATGGCAAATGGTAACTATCATTACCAGGTGGTTATTTGCAATGCAAATTCTAAACCCTAACTCATAGATGGTTGGCTCTGGAAGTTGCCAAACAGCTGGGTTTTGAACCTTAAACCCATAGGATGACCAACACTATAATTCCACAAGAATTTCTCTAAACATACTAATTTTTTCCCCCAGTGTCATTCATCATCATTTTCCATAGCACCTAGTAGCCCAGTGTGACATTAGAGACACAATAAAATTAAATTAGAGAGTCATGGTCCTTCTTCCTTGGAAAATAATTGCTGAAGGAAAAATTATATCACATGCAAAAGTATTGAGACTATACATTAAATGTATTTAAAAATTGAATTTTGTCTCTTTTAAGAAAGCTATTTATTAATTTGAGAGAGAGAGAGAACACGGCAGGGGGTTGGGGCAGAGGGACAGAGGACAGAGAGTCTTAAGGAGACTTTGCACTGAGCAAGGAGCCGGACACAGGGCTGGATCTATGAGCCTGAGACTATGCCCTGAGTTAAAATCAAGAGTCAGACGCTCAACCAACTGAGCCACGCAGGCGCCCCTAAGAACTGAATTTTGGCTTTATTTGTCAAGACAAACACTTCACAATTACTTTTTGTCCAGCATTTGGCCCAATAATTCTACTGAAATTACCCACAAACATTACCAATGACCTACTGATCAAAATATTTGTTTCCTCCATGGGCTCTCATTCTTCTTGATCAATCTATTGAACAGCCTTGATCAAGTCTGATCTATTTTCAGAAAGTCTTTCCCTTAATACTCTGTGCTCTGTCACTCCCATCTGCATTTTCCCAGGCTGTTTGATATGCCTCAATAACCGTCCATTTACCCTCGGTCTTCAAAATTCTTACCATGCTACTTCTTCCATAATGCCATGCCCATGCTCTAGGTGGATTTAATTGTTCCTTTCTTATTAGGTCAATTGCATGTTTCTAACTCAAGTTTCTTGGATACTTAAATGTCAATTCTCTCATCTATTAAATAAGAATGATAACAATGCCTTCCAGAATGCACTTTGCTTGTTTGTTTTGAAATCACATTATTTAGTACGATAATAGCATAAAGTGAACGGCAGTTGTTATTAGATTATCAAGAAACTTGCTCTCCACTGGTACTGATTAAAACAAATCATGCCCCTACTCTATTAAATAATGCATTATACTTTACTGAAATCATACATTTGAAGTCACTTTCTGCCACAAGACTATAAACCTGTGGTGACAGGAAGTGCACCATTTTTGTTTACCCTTAGATTTTCTGCGTGAAGCACAGGACTGATATGTAGTTAGGGGTAGAAGTTCAAGAGAGAATTGTTGGGTAAATATTGCAAATTGACAAATGAATAATATAATAGGTCAGTATTGCCAATAATATATGAATATATGTATACACAAAATTAAATTAAATTAAAAATAAATTCTTATGTTAATTATTCATTCACTCAGTCTTCTCAATTTTTCTTATTAACATTCTAGAAAAAATAAAATGGACTGATCTATTATAATACAGTAATTCAATTTTTCTATATTGTTCCCATAAACTGAGTGCCAAGAAGTACCTAGCCATCCAGTGAATCTGTAGAGTGGTTCCAAATTTCATTTTGGTAAATCAACCCATATTAATTTTTCCACAGTTTCACCTGGATTCCAATCAGCACATTATGACCAGACCATTCATTTAGATGTTCTTAAATGTAAAATGCAGTTACTACTCTAGCATTAAAGTGAATGGTACCAGAGAACAATTCATCTTTTTAGGTACATTATAAAGAGAGGCATAAAATTTAAAGCATATTTGATCAGGTGAATTAAAACAAGGGTTAAAGTTGGCTTTAAAGTGGATGATGCTTGTGTAGTGCTCCCCTGCCCCTCCCACCATCACTGCTGTCCTTGTTGGTTTGTGAAGACAATAGTTGTGAGGTGGATCCTACAGGAACCTCCTTTTCGATGATTTCCTCCCTTCCCCGCGCCTTTGCAGCTATTGAGATTCCTATGTCCTCCAGCATGTCTCTGGTTATGTTTTTAAAAATTCATTTTTCCATCTACAGCTTAAAACTTATGGCTTGGGTACTATGAGGATTTATGGAGTTTCCTAATCCTCGTAAAATATAATAGAAAATATTTGTATTATAAAATAATGAAATTGTAATGTGTGGGTTTTCATTTTAATAGCTAATAACTGCACATATCTTACTGTGGTTAAAGACAATGGCAACTTTGAGAAAAATGAAGATTTTATTTATTTATCTATTTATTTATTTATTTAAGAGAGAGCAAACTGAGTGGGGGGGGTAGGGGCAGAACAGCGAGGAGAGGGACAAGCGGACCCCATGCTGAGCAGGAAGCCCAAGGGGCTCGATCTCATGACCCTGAGGTCACGACCTGAGCCCAAATCAAGAATGGGAGGCCTAACCGACTAGCCACCCAGGTGCCCTGGGAAAAATATTTTTTTTAAAAATGTTATCAACAATTTATCAACTTAGGGTGAGATACTGAAGAAAATTATCTTACTTAAGTAAATCCCATAGAAATGTTAGTTGGCCTATTTTTATTGATTTGCATCTCCTGTCATTTAAAAATAACTCTGCCAGGGCGCCTGGGTGGCTCAGTCAGTTAAGCGTCTGCCTTCAGCTCAGGTCCCTGGGATCGAGTCCCACATGGGGCTCCCCGCTCACCGGGAAGCCTGCTTCTCCCTCTGCCCCTCTCCCTGCTTGTGTTCCCTCTCTCGCTGTCTCTCAAATAAATAAAATCTTTAAAAACAAATAAATAAATAAAAATAAAAGTAACTCTGCCTTTCTTACAAAGTTTTCCATGCCTGAATATCCAATCTTTTGTTATATTGGTATGATTTAACTATGGTCTAAGAAGAATATTCAAACATGGACCACTGCTGGAATTTTCTTCTTTTTCTTTTATTTTCTTTCTCTTAAAAAATAAAAAAGCCCACTGCTTTTGAATTTTTCAATTTATGGTATTAAAAAAACAACAACTTTTATACATGAAAAGGCTGAAAATATCTATAACTTGTTAAGATTAACAAATATCACCTTTAAAATGTGCATACTGTGTGCTGAGCAGTCCTGACTGGAGTTCATGTCACCCCCATTCATCGTCTCAAAGAACTGGCTTTCAGCATTGAAAATGAAGTTCTTTCAGGTCATTTTATCCCAAAGAAGATTTAAAAGTCACCCTGAATCCCACTACTGAAGACACTCCCAATGTAAGCCATCCTTATTTTCTTAAAGAGAGATTTCCTGTCTCTTCTAGATGCTTTTTGAATGCCAGACAAGGGGAGCTTTGAAAACAGGAATATTTGAAAAATGTAGCAGCACTGATGGGTCTCACAAATAGGAAGAAATAAAGAACTTTATAAATTGCAATCCAAATACATGTTATAAATTAGAGATGAGCTGCCAGAACTATGCTATGTTCTTATTGCATGTTCAATATAAACATGCTATGTTGTTTATTATATGTTTTATAAAATTGATGGTATTTGTTTAGTATTTTTTATTTTTTATTTATTTTTATTTATTTATTTATTTATTTTTTTGGTTGTCAAATGATCCTTTATTGAAACATTTTCCTTTGTAGTTAACTAGCCAGGCATTCCAGCACACCACTGTTGATGTCATCTATGATGTCATGAGGGTGGTGGCCGTCTACATTGCAGCCCACAGACTGGGTAGTCCCCAGGATTTCTTTAATGGTTCCAGAGAGTTCTCTGGCTAAAGATCGGTGGTGCATCTGCTGGGCAATATTGACAATCTCATCAAAAGTGATATTTCCACTGTGCTTAACGTTTTTCTGCTTCTTTCTGTCTCTTGGTGGTTCCTTGAGGGCTCTGATAATCAGGGCAGAGGCAGAAGGTACCACTTCAATCTGGGCCTGTCTGTTCTGAATGGTCAGTTTCACCATAATCCTTAGACCCTTCCAGTCACCGGTTGCCTTGGCGATGTCATCACCAACCCTTTTTGGAGACAGACCCAGCGGGCCGATCTTCGGGGCCAGGGCAGGCGTGGAACCGACTTCGCCACCGGTGCACCTCAGGTACACGACTTTGATCTTGTTGGGGTCGAACTTGTCAGCATGGCGGAGGTGGCTGGTGTCGGATGAACCCGGATTCGGGACGACGGAAGAAAGTTGCACCTTTGCCTCCCCGAGCCGAAAGCCAAAAGTGTCTAGTATTTTTTAAAGATTTATTTATTTATTTGAGACAGAGAGAGAGAGAGAGCAGGGGGAGTGGCAGAGGGAGAGAGAATCTCAAGCAGATTCTGTGCTGAGCATGGAGCCTGACTCAGAGCTCTATCTCAGGACCCTGAGATCATGGCCTGAGCCGAAATCAAGAGTCTGACGCATAACTGACTGAGCCACCCTGGGCCCCTGTAGTATTTTTTACAAAAACCCAATGCCTGTATTTATTTTGGATTTAAAATTATATAATATATATATATATATACACACATACATATATATATACTGGTCTTCAGGTCATACCTAAAGTGGTACTGTTTTTAGGTTTATTAAATAGTGTTCTTTTAAATAAAGATAATCTTAAACACCAATTCTAAATGATTGCCACAATTGCATTTCAAATGAAAAAATTAATTTATTTTTTACTCTAAACAGATAATTGTTATAATCTCTAATTTAATTTTCACCTATTTCATTTATTTTCCACAGGTATCACACACACACACACACACACACACACACACACACACACACACCCCTTGAAAAAACAACTAAGGCTTCAGAAGCACAGAGAGATAGAATTATATATTCATCCTGACAAAACACTCGCTTCTTATAATGCCACAGGCTTTCTTATATTAAAAAAAAGATACAAAATCTCAAGCCAGATATGCAGTCAAAATGATTTTTGAATGTTGACAGTTACACTTTTTTAAATGAATATAAATCTCAGCAAATAAATGTCAGCACTGTCTATGCATAGAGCCTGAAATTTGTATCTTGTAGTGAAGAAACTGATGTGAAATAATGATTTACATCACTGATGTGAAATTCTTTGGTGGGCAATAGGCAAATGTAAGCAGTGGAGAATAGGAGAGTTATTCACATCGGTGGTGCCAGGGAAAATTGAGAAACATTTTCTTCCTTTTTTTTTTTTTTTGTATTCATCCTACATTAATCCATTTACCTGTGCTTGGAAGTAATGATAGGATCACTGATGCTACACCATTCTTTAATGAAACCCACTGTATACATTTTTCCAACTGTAAAGGCCACCTGCTTATTACATTTTGATTTGCTAAGGGCAAAGTCCTGATATAAGAAGTGCTATAACAGAAAAAGAAAAATAACGTGATTAATTTTATGATCATAATATATTCCTTGGTTATTTTAATTAATATGCTATTCTTCAAGTAATGTTTTCCTGCTCTCTATGTGTCTCCTAGCTGTAGCATGTCTAATTAAATTATCTTTTTTCCCTGTATTTAAAAGCAGTGGCAGGGGAAATTTTTTCTTTTCATTCTCAGAGAAATCCTCAATAAATTATAATATTTGCTAGGCATACTGAATTTACATGACTTTTAGTGTTGCTATTTATTCATTGTCCTAATGGGAATTTTATATAATATATAAAATTTTATATATATATATATTCATACACACAGTGCACACACTGTACACTTAACTGTAGAAAGTCTTCATTATCAATCCTTATATTAAATAATGAAGTTTGATTTTACTACCTAAAAACAAATCCTATTTATATCCAGACTTGGCTGCATGAAATGAATTAATTGCTCTGAGCCATACGCACATCTCCCATTGATTTATACAGGAACCTTTAAAATATATGAAAAGATATTTCTCACACATGGTAGCATGCATTTAGACAACTATCTGTCTCTTTTTCATAGGGGACCTAATGTGAAGGGTTTGCTTGAAAACAAGGGATGATATATTCTCTCCAAAATGTGTAGACATATCCCAGAAAGTGACTCAAGAGAATAAATTGGTAGATTAAACATCCTAGTGCTCTCTAATACATATTTAACAAAGGTTCTTAGGTACAAACGTTGCCGCAAAAGACTTCCCGAGTCAAATGAGAGTTGATGGATCTTGATGAGAGTACAGAAATATTCTCACAAGCAAATGGGCATCAGGATGCTTTGCTGGTCTCTGGGTTGTGTTAAGTAGCTTTGTGGTACGGAAGGATGCCCTAAGAGTGAGCAGGAAGGAGAAGAGGTAAATATTATGTTTCTTTCTCCCCATTACCTATTTTTCAAAGATTCTCTTTCTGTTTCCTGAGAATAATCAGCAGGTTGAGCACTGGATTGCCTTACTCTATGAATGCACACTCTAAGAATGAAAGAAGGTATGGACTGTCTTGATGCAAAGCAAGGGTCAGGTCTGTACCACTGTTTTATTGTTCCAACTTTAAAAACAGGCTTCAGCTACCCGCTTCAAGAAGGGAAATAACTGAACACCAGAATTATCATTGCTCCAAGTTCTACCATCCCTTGATTCTTTGCCATTAAGATGACTTTATTCTGTTAATTGGTGAAGCAAGCAATACTAAGCCCTAAATAAGTGATTCCCAACCTAAGGTGAATTTGCCCCGACCCCTGCCCTAGAATATTTGACAATATCTGGACACATTTGGTTGTCCTAACTGGGAATGGGTGCTCCTGGTATCTAGGGATAGAGACCAAGGATGTTGCCAAACATCCTGTAATGCCCAGGGCAGATTCCCCTGCAACAAAGAATCGTCTGACCCAAAATGCCAATAGTTCTATGATGTGAGTTTGGGAGACTCAGGAAAGGAAATGTAGAGGCTATCAAAGAAGGTGACACGAGGAGGTGGGAAGCGAGGGACGGACATAATGAGGCAGTAAGGAAGGGAGGGAAGAATAGTCACTAAACATTTGCCAAAGCTATGAAGTAGCAATATCTACCTCAGTTACTCTTCTGTGAATTCACATTAATAGTTAAACTGCAGGTGCATAGGCATCGTGCCAGGTACTATGGCCAATATACACAAGAAGTTAACATGCCTTGCTTTAGGATTATTAATCCTATTAATCAATTTAAACTTTATTTAACTCAATCTTTTGCTTTCTGAATCTAACCCTATCATAGAACCCCTCATTCTGTGGACCTAACAGGCAAAAATTATGAGATGCCTCACAACGGAATCAATTGAAACACAAAGCTTAAAAATTAATCATTACCAAGAATAAAATTTGTCTTAAAGAGGAATGTGTTAGTTTGGAAAATGCATAAAACATGGCAAAATAAAACACAGTGTAGGGTGTAAAAGAAAGTGATTTAAAATAAAATCTCATACAATTGCAATATGAAATGCATATTGAATTATTAAAATGTTAATTTGTGAGCAAGACATGCCTCTTATATATAGAACTTGCTGTAAACTGATCATATTAACATGAGACTTTAGGGCTTCGGGGGTGCACAACTTTGGGAAGCAGCTCAGTGAAGCTCTCCATGGCCATTCTTTTAAGTCCAAGTGCCTAGCTATGTCTCCTAAGAGTCATGTCAAAGCTGCTTTCTCTCTTATCATTTATTTACTAATGAAGAAAAGCAGGAAAGTACCAGAAAAGGAAGAGAAAAGCAGAAAAGCGACTTCATATTGCCAAGTGTATTCTTATACTGATGTCCCAAGTTATATATTCATTTCTATAATTTGATATAGATATCAAATTTATATTAACTGATATTAATATAAATAATATAAAGTATATCAGTTAATATAAAGTATATCAATATTTTTACTTATTTTCCCTTAAAAAAGCAGATTGTAATATAATGAAGAATCATTTATCACTTACATTTAAGTGAGTTGAATGCCCTAGGAAAGTGCATTTCATCAAATTTGGTTGTTAGGGCAAGACTTGCAATATATTATTTTGGTACTTGATTCACCTTATGAAGAATTCAGTTCATAGTGAAGCAAAATCCTCAGAGGGGAAGGAAGATGATATAGTCTGCCCTGCCCTGTATGGTAGGTTTCACTAAACTTAAGCACAATTGCTTTCCTGATCTGATTTACTTGCTTTGGCTATCTAAGGATTCATAATATATATTTTGACATCTTTATAACACCTTTTCTGTAGGGACAATACAGGCCTCAGAAACCTTGTAGAATTAAACATACAGAATGTATATATTTTTTAGAGATTGAAAATCTAGCAAGATTACTTGTGAACAAATTTTTAAGAGTTTCCCATAATTTAAATCTTGCTTATTAGGCTGATATCTTTTTAGAATTATTTGGACTTCGGTAACATAATGCTTGAAATATAAAATTTCAATTTGCAATAATAGTTTGTGATAGACTTGGTTTAAGTAGTAATATTTTAATTAATCTTAAAATCCTTAAGATTATTTGTTTAGTATTTAAATCAATTTCAGTTCTATCCATAATAAACAGAGTATAGCATAACTCATAGTTTTGTTTAGAAATGACTATTTAAGAAAATCTTGTTGGGAGGGTAGCTGGCAGATATCTGGTGGTTTTGTTTATTTATTTGTTTGTTTAAAAGTCACTTCACTGAGGGGCCCCCGGGTGGCTCAGTCAATTGAGCATGCAACTCTTGATATTGGGGTCATGAGTTCAAGCCTCACGTTGGTCGTAGAGCCTACTAAAAAATAAAAATAAAAAATAGTGTATACAACTTGATGTATACAACTTTGGAGATAAGTACACACTTGAAATGATTACCACTATCAATGCCATAAATCTATCCGAAGGTTTTCTCCCCCCCAAATTTTCTCCTACCATTGTTTTGCACGTGTTAAGAACACACATAAGATCTACCTTTTAGCAAAATTTTAACCAAGAATGGACAAATGGTCTGTATTCAACTAGAAAGCTTTTGTAGAGCAAAATAATCAGCAAAGTGAAAAGACAACCTATAGAATAGGAGAAAAATGCTTGCAAACCATATATCTGGTAAAGAGTTAATATCAAATTATGCAAGAAACTCCTACAATTGAGTAGCAAATAAACAAATAACCCAAATTAAAAAATGGGCAAAGGACTTAAGTAGACATTTCTCCAAAGAAGA